CCCCAAAACCCCAAAACCCCAAAACCCCAAAACCCCTTCTATTGCATTTTGAGGTAAAATTTATGAAATCAAAATTATTTTTTATTACGTTATTATTCAAGTAGTTTTTGTCATGATAGCATATTTTCAAGGAAATTCGCTATTCCTTTTTCATCATCAGCTGCTGGAAGTCCTTCGAATAGATCTTAGCTTTAATCAATATCCTTGATATGCTTACTCTATTTCTTCTAGCTTATACTTCTTAAAGCTTGAGTTTATTATGAGCTCTATTAATCTAAATCAGTTTTACTATCTTTTTTAGCTGGCTTAGATTTTAGAGTAAATCCGCTAGTTTTTGATTTTCCTGTAGTCAAACCTTTTCTAGAGATAGGTGGTAATGATGGGTCATTATGACCAGTATTCTTAGTCTCATTTGTTTGTTTTTTAGTTATAAGCTTCTCTACTTCCTTGTTATCGAATGGAGTCTTACCGTTACTTTCAATAACTGCTCTTTCAAATGGCAGATATCTGAAGTAAGGATCAAACTTATTCTTATCAATCTCTGGTTTTTTTTACTTCTTCTTTTTCTTTTGTTTCTTCTTGAGGTCTTTAGTCTCCATAAAGATCTTCATATACTTATCTTCAATCTGTTTTCTTTCTCTTTTATCTAATTCTCTGATGTAGTCTAACAGACTCTTATCATCAGCGACATTTTTACTCTAATAGTCTTGCTGCATTTGTTAAAGGAACGACTCAGCATACTTAGCAAATTCCTAGTCCTCTTTACTTCTTAATTGCTTCATATTCTAGATAGCAACTTTAGTTTCATTTTCAAGCATTCTAAAGAATTCCTCCTTTGTCATGATAACAGAATCTTCATCCTTAAAGTCTTCATCTCCAAGTAAATTAATATCTCTATCTGCATCCTCGCCTCTGTTAGTAGAGCTATGCTTAGACTCCTCTCTATTCGCATCTGCTATCTTTTACTTAGACGAGGATTGTTTATCTTGTGCAAACTCATTTTCATTATTGTTATCAATAGGCACAATCTTACTGGACCTCCTAGCATCTAAACTAAGTTTAGTTCTCAAACTAGCTCCATAGCTATTAACATCTGCAGTTCTACTCCTACGAGAATTTTCGATACCGATATGAATGTTAGCTGGATCAAGAGTACCATCAAGATTAGTAACTGCAGGTTCTTGCTCAAACTCATTGACTGCAGATAATTACTCAGTCTGCTTTCTCTTGTTGTTTGGACCCTGACCAATCATGTTCAGGTATATTTTGAGATCATTTTGATCTGAAAATCTCTGATTAAGCACATTGTAGCTGCTAGGTGTCACTCCCATCTCATCTTCACTCGATGTATAATTAGCTTCATCTATGAACTGCAACTCATACTCTCTTCTCTTTTTCTCCTCCTCAAGCTCAGATAGTAACTATTTGATCTGCTGCTGAAGGTCATAAACGATTACATGCAACTCCTCTTTCTTTGAATTTTCTAATACAACATTAAGCTCTAACTCATCAACCTCAGATCTCAGATTATTTAGAGTATGCTGTCTTCTATCCTTTTCCTCATGCTGCAAGTCAATATCTCTTTGCAGGTTTCTAAGGGCATTATGATCAAGTCGCTTTTTAAGAATTGAAAATTCTAACTCATCAATTTAGTTAGAGTCTTTTCCTGTTAGTTCCTTGAATATTTCATCTATGTCTTCTTTCTTTTAATTCTTGAATTGCTAGAACTGCACTTGAAGATTACGCCTGTCTGGTGAACTCATTGAACTGCGATCATTCATGTAGGATTCGTTATCATGGTTTGAAGATTAATTTCCAACTACATCTCGCAGAATATTATTTGCAATGTTGTAACCAGTATTAGATGGCATGTCTGAAATATCATCATTATTATGCTGCTGGTTGCCTCCTACAATTGCTTCTACCTGCATTCCCCCTAAAGTATGATAATAAGAAGCAACATCATTTCTAGCTTTGAGAGGTGACTTGGTATTAATTGGCCTCTTATCAATGTTTCTTCCCATATCTTCTAGTTCTTTCTAGAACATCTCAAACTTCTGCTGAATTCCTGAGTCCTTCTTAAGAATTTCATCAGCATTTATAGGCGCACTTGTGAAGTCTAATTCATTGATAATCTGAGTCTGCTGCAAATCATCTCTTGAGCTGTCTTGTTGAACTCTATTGTAATTGTTATCCGAATTCATATCGCTGTTACTCTCCCTGTCATTAAATCGCCCTCTATTCTTGTTCTTATAGCCACTTTACAGTTTCTTCGCAGTCTTATCTGCAGTTTTTGGAGTAGGGCCAACAGACTGATATTACTTGTTTCCGAAATTCTTCTTTTCTGCTGTCCTGCTCATTGATGTTCCCCCAAAGACTAAATTTTCTAGACCGTTCTCATTTATTGAAGAGGAATCTTCTTCAACCTCTATATCATTAAAATCTGCTGTCTAAGCCAAGATCTCAGAGCCATCTCTATTTTTCTTAACTTTCTTAATTATCTTGCTCAATACTTTTTATCTTTACGATTTATCGAAATCAGGTCCAGTCATTGTTGTGTCTCTGGGTGTAGTGTCCAGGGAAGTTTGTCCTAATTATTGAGTCTTGAGTTAGCTACCATCTAATGTGCCGTTTCCTTCTTCATATTTATCCTATCCATAAGCATGCTCAGTTCTGTAGATGATAATTGTGTGAGAAATTAGTAGGATTACAGATGTGATGATGCATTCAATATCAATCCAAAATACTTGCCTTCCTTCCCATGTCCAAAATAGATTGTAAATATTAGCAGCTATGATTGGCATATAGACTAAAGTTATCTAGAGCAGTGAGTATCTATTTAGTTTCTGATAGTACTTCTCCTTCAACTGTAATGTGCAAGAAAGTGCCTTATTATTGAAGAGTTTGGAGTATTATAATCTAAATAGTTGGAATGAAGTAAAGTAGCAGAGGACTATGATAATCTTCTAAGTCTTAGGATAATACTTCATATAGAGCCTGTAACTTTGATCTAGGCTTACTACTTTCTTTCTATAGTAATAGTACCAAAAGAAATTTAGAATCTGGTTGAGGATAAGTCCAATCAAAACGATACCTGCTGAGCTTAGATGTTTGTCCTTTAAGAGAAAAATAACCAAATATATCCACAAAAATACCATAAAAGCACTTTGTAGTGCTAGGTAAGAAGTAAATAATCTAGTATTAGGATATGTTCTGTTACTAATCAGGCATATAATTATCAGAATACCAGTAAAAATAAAACTTAAGAAAGGGTATATTGGTTCGTTCATTTTGACACATTAATTATTATCATCAGGTAAATAAGGACTTGGGCAACTCTCTAAGCATTAATTTTCATAGAAATAATAGGCTACTGGTGCTAACTGGCAGCTAGTACAGTTATCTCTAGTTCCATTGCAAGTAAAGCAAGGTGACTTGCAAGATTCACATTCTTTTACCAATGAAGTCTTAAGAGGAACAGATGTGCTGGGACATTGACTGAAGCATTTAGAATTCCAAATATAGTAGTTATTGATACAAGTGAGACATTTATCTGGAGAAGAGCATTAATCACATGGAGCTATACAGCTTTCACAAGTTTTAGATTGATCTTCTCTGTATGTACCTGTTGGGCAGTTTTAATAGCATTTGCCATCTATTTCATTTACGAAGGGTAATGATGATACAGACTAGCAATTCTTGCAGAAAGTAGAATTTCCAAAGCAATCCTGGCAGGGGAACTAGCATTTTTAGCAAACTAGCTATTTATCATCATAGTAGCCTTATGGACATTAACTTCCGCATTAGTTCTAATAAAGATAGAAAGGATTGAGTGAATCTGAGCTTTAACATGAACTGCAATTAGTTGCTGAAGAGCTGCAAGTCTGGCAAGGATATGTACATCCTATCTAAAAGTTTATATCTGAAGATTGATCAATTATAAAGCCATTTTGAGTCATAGTTCTTATTAGAATCTAGTTACTGGTTGAGGAAGATATAGATGGATTTCACACGTTCAATATTCTAAAAGCTACCTATTACCCACTTGATAACTCTGTGGTATTGTAGCCATTTACTATTTATATGGTTCTGCTATTACTGGAGCTGATTTAGCATTTCAATTGACTAGAGGAAGAAATACTTGGTAGATTCTTGATTGATTGGCACTATATTGTGCCTGAAAAGGCAGTATACAAATTGCTTGGAAATTAAACTTCAATATAACCATATCTTGGGATTACATTAGCAGTTGTAAAGTAAAAAGCGTAATTAGTTAATGCACCCAGTTATCTGCTATCAGTTAAGATTTATATGTCTGTAGATTTCCCCATTATAGAATTTAATAGACCTAATCCTTAACTTGCTGAGTTCACATAATAATTGTAAATTCTAGAAGTGGATACATATATCTTGAAAGAATCTGTTGGTTCATTCGATAATGGATTTAAGAAATTAGCTACACTTAAAGTAAAGATTGTGCCAGAAGGTATTAACCAGGTAACATAGTTCATATTGACATCAGTAGATGGTAAAATATTTACATAAAGAGAGCCATCTTTAATAGAGCATGGAAGCGTTTATTCTAGCCCTCTAATACCTTTACACTAATCTCTTGTTGATTGAATCTGAATGGATGATGGAGGAGTTATCTTAATGAATTCATTCTTGTAAACAGGGAGAGACACTGCCATTGTGAATTCATAAGTTACATTTGAGGCTCCATTGACTTCACTATCTCTTTTAACTAGCACTCTCTCAAAAGGCCTAGCCTATGAGACAACTGATGTTACTAGAGAAGTCTTTTGATACTATACGTATCCTTCCGAGTCAAGTATTTGGATATTAAATGAACTGGTAGGTTGTGTTGATCTTGGTGCAGTTACTTAAGTTAGGTATATTGTAAACATATCTAAGGTATAAAAGGTCTTTGAGGAATCTGACGGAGCGAATATGCTCTTAAATAGATATGTTCTTGGTGAGGTAAATGTGATTGATAATTTAGAATCTTCAACTCCTTCAGTGTAGGAAGTTTTTGAAGATGTATCTGAATTTGACAAAGTCAGATCATCTGGAAGGATAACTTTGACATAACTATTTGCGAGGATAGGAAAGTTTTATCCAGGATAAATTCTGATAGAATATGTGCAAACTTAAGAAGTATAAGACAATGCTAAGTTATTTGAACAAGCAGTTGCAATGACACTCGGTATTTCATTAGCAGTTCCAGTTATTGTCACTGTGGAGCTTTAATCAACAATGTTGCCATCTGTGTTTACTGTACTCAAAATAAATGCACTAGTTGGTTTCGTTGTAGTTGGATTTATGAATCCAGAAGTAATTTCAAATTTAAGAACTGATGGTGCTGTTACTGCTGTAGAAAAAGCATTAGTTATTTTAATGACTCTAGTAGATGAATCATAGGATAGAGAAGCTGAGCTAGAGATTCCTTAAACTGCATTAAATTTTAAGCTTCCAGAAGTAACTGTAATTTAGGAGGGTACAGTGATCTATACAGATGATCCGATTTATAAAGAATTAGCCAGTACGAAATGAAAGGAGTATAAAGCTGCTAATCTTGTTCTAAAATTATCTGGCGTGATTGTTGTCCCAGTCAATGATCCAGGAGAGGCACTAAAAGTAACTGTATTACTCTCCATAATTAGAAATTCTTGATCATATATTTGAATTAAAAATTTATCTGTGGTTGCTGTGGTTGATGGATTTGTTAGCTATAGCAATGATATTTAAATCTAAGTATTTTCATCAACAAAGTTAGATGCAAATGGCACTAAATTATTTAGCTTGATTACTTGATTAGTTGGATCAGATATTGTGACTTGAATAACTGGATAAAGAGGAGAGAATCCAACTGCAGAGTTCAGGACATTAGTAGAACCAGTGCTAGAAGTAATTTTTATCTACTTTGGGATAGTAACCTGCATTATAGAGCCTATAGGTAATGGTAAGGGAGACTATATTCTGAAATTATATTGAGATTATGAATTGATCTAATTATTTCCTGATGCCTCAACAGTAACTTGGGAAGATGCCAGTTGATATGCTGATGATATAGAGAAACTATATGCAGTTTTTTATAGGTCAATCTGAAGTCCTTGTGAATTATACGACTCTACAGTGATAGAGGTTATAGGCTTGGTTGAAGGTGGGTTTCTGAACCTATTGTTCGAGATTGTGAATTGCAAAGTACTTGTTACGTCTGAGGTAAAGCCTGAAATCCTTAATACATCAAAAGTCTAGGATATTGTTGATATAGATATAGGTGTAGATGTCTATTTGGATGTGCCGTTGATGAACAATCAACTTTATACTGGCTAGAACCTTAAGAGTCACTAGTTGAGTATTTGATCATGCTGCTTGCTTTAGAAATCGTTTAAGTTCCAGCATTCCATTTAGGGAATTTCAATAACAAATATCCATTAGAAGTCAAAGTGTTTGAAACCTAAACATTTACCTGCAAATTGCAATAAACACCAACTACTTGTGAATTAAGAGAAGATAATGTTAAACCAAGTGATCCTGGATTAGTGTCAAACTTGAATGTGCTTCCCTCTGAGGAGTCTATTTAAACTTTGGCGCTTGTAAAGGTTGCTACTGTTACTGTGAAAGTATTTACAAAGCCAGGAAGGATAAAGTTTGAAAGCTGAAGTATCAGGAATTTATCTGAATTTGGAAATGCATTAGTTATTGTCAGAACAGTACTACTGGTCCTTGTACAAGACATAGTGCTTGATGCAAATCCATAGACATTACTGCAAGCGAATGATAAAGGGCTTGCATTCAAATTAACTCCTTCTGAAAAGGTCAATGTCATATATCCACCGCTAGTCACATCTGATGATAACTGAATGCTGAATTAAAATGTTGAGGATTTTGTAATATCCAATGGCGAAACAGAGAGTGACCCTGATATCAGAGAGGTATTAACTCCCAAAATCAATATTCCATATAAGATTAGAACAGTCAGCAATATTTTGCTTTTCATTCTCATTTTGAATTTGTTTATAATTATACATCCCTGTGAATTTGAAATAAAAGCTACTTGGGGTTTTGGGGTTTTGGGGTTTTGGGGTTTTGGGG